TCCACAGGAACTTAAGGAAGCATTTCTTCACTGTGAGGGTGACAAAGCACTGGAACAGGCTGCCCAGAGAGGTTGTGGAGTCTCCTTCTTTGGAGATCTTTAAAACCCGCTTGGATGCAGCCCTGTGCCATGTGCTCTAGGTGACCCTGCATGAGCAGGGGGGTTGGACTCGATGACCTCTGAGGTCCCTTCCAACCTTCGGCATTCTGTGATTCTATGATCTCTCTGTTTTACCTTGCCTATGATGAGGTATCTTCTGCTAATGCCTTGTCAGTGACAGCACACTTTGTAAACTGCTGACTTAAGCCACCTTTATGATGGTAAAATGAGTGTAACTGAGTTTTGACAAGCAGAAGCTAATAAATATTACTTTTTTTTTCTAATTTGAACTGTTTCACCATTTGTTGGGCTCTTAATTGACTGTAACCACTTGTTCAGAGTGACAGCTAAAATTTTTTACCAAGTCATAGAAGGTCTCTAGTGAATATAAACCCATGGTCACAAACTACAAGATAACAAATAATGATGTCTGTGATGTTAGAATCTTTCCAGAAATATTGTGTCCATTGCTGGTTACTGTTTTATATAGGATTTAGAATTTTGTAGAAGGCTTTGAGTACTGAGAGCCTGACAAAACCGATTCATGAAAAGAAGTGGAAAGAGTTAGTAGTTTAGTGGGATGAACTATATGCTTCATTATTTTATATTCTCTAACATTTAAAGTAACGTATTTAAATTTTTCACGGTCTAAAGATGAAGGGAAATCTTGTGGAACTGAAAGGAACAACAGACATAAAACTATACATTATTTTTACATGCTTATCATACAGAAATGGCTGCTAACACTGAGACTGAAAGCTGCACTAAAATTGGAAAGTTAGATACCTGAAATTGGAAGTACCAGGAGATTTTTAAGCACCTTTGGATAAAACATCCCAAAGCTCTCATTTTGGAAAGTTTTGTGAGAGATGTGTTGGGTGCTTGATTTACTTTTTCCTTTTCCTGGACAGTTTTCTGGTTAAATATTACATTATGCAAATGGTAGAATAGCTCCATCGGCGTGTGTAGTATGTCGGTGTTGAGCTAAAACACGTTAGGATCTAGAAGGTATGTGTAGAGGAATACAATTTCTTCTATATGGACACCTAGCACTTTACCCCTTTTTTTCATGCTGGACTCATTTTTATAAAGCAATCTCAGTTACCTTTCTTCAAAACCACAACTGTAGGGATCAACCGGTAATGCCTGTGTTTTAAACAGCTGCCTACAGGCTGGAAAAGTTATTGATACATTGATAGCCTCTGCTAAACCAAAGCTAGAAGCCTTTAAGGCCTGTTCCTTCCTACTCTTTGCCTGTTCCCTCTGTCTAGAAATGGTTGAAAAAATTAAATACATATCTTCCAGGGATAGGGAGTGTCCCTCCAAATCCTGTTTTTAGGGCACTCAACTTTAAATTTGAGGTTTCAGTCCTCAAATTTGTTGTCATGATTGTTGGTAGAAAATGTGTAGCACCATAACTGGATAAATGCAGAAGTAATTAAAGAAGCAGAAAGCCAAGCTTAGAGTCAGTCTGGTGATAAAGATTGTTTCCTGTAGTTGATAATGAAAACTGCCTCAGGAAGCTCATAATTCTAATGACAAATATCTGCTATCGGATAATCTTCAACTAAAAACTGATGGTAAATATCAAAAAGAGGTTACAGGACTTTTATTGGGGTTTCCATGGGTCAAGCAGTGAAAGGTGGGAGATCCCAAATGAGCTTCGTACCTTAACTGTGGGACAGGGATGACTCCTTCAAACAAGTGCTGAGTTAGCAGAGGTAAGGATTCATTCCTTAATGGTGAGCCCAATTACTCTGTTTCATATTCTGCTTTTGTTTTCAGGCTCTGTCATGGTGTTATTCCCAGTAAAAGGCATTATGAAATAATAGCCAGTGCCTCAGCGTTTTTGAGCTCTTAATGTTTTTGTAACAGACTGATGCTTTTTGTTATTATCACTGCAGAATGTGTTCGAGTCTACCAGGCTTATTTTAGGTGGTCCTGACGAGTTATCTGCCTTGGATTATTTATTAATCCATTTGTTTTATTACATAATATTAGAGATTTGCTTGCATGTGTTCACTAAGTTGTTAATGGGTAGTTCCAGTTTAAGTGCTGAAGCACTGCTATGTTAATAATGTGTCCTGTAGACCACAGACATAAAATGACCAAATCAGCCATCAGAAACACTTGCCACTACAGTAAGAACTTGAATATATTTTAAATCTGTCTTTTAATTTATGTTGAGAAATAATTCTCTATTTATTCTGATTTATGTTTTTCTGCTTTAGGCCAGAACTATGATAGCAGTTGGACTTGGTATTGCAACTGTTGCATTTGCAGGTAAGCTGTATTACCAACAGCGGGTGGAACTGACACTTGTCAGATGCTATTTCCAAAGGGGTTAATAGAGTTCTTGGGAGTATAAAGAAATTGGGAAATAGAAAGGTTACCCAAGATTGGTACTGGAGAATTGTGTCCAGTTGTAGTTCCTGACCTTTCAAAATCCTTCGACACAATTCCCAAATGCATTCTGAGGAAGCCACAGCTGAAGAAACTTATTTTATGGGCACAAGCTAAAGGAGTTCAATCTGTGTTTTTTATCTTCAAAATATAATGTGAAAAGATGACTTTATGGTTTTTTTTGTTAGCATACTGCTAAAGGTAAGCTCTTTAGTAAGGAAGAACACAACAGGATCCAGTAGTGGGAAGGTGATACTTTACCAATTCTGGTGGAGAAAAATACAAGTTTCTAGAAGCTATAGCAATTTATTACAGTAAGCTGTTTCTGTAGTACACTGTCTGTTACCTGAACTCTTTACATGTGGGCTATATGTTCTTCTGAAAAATAGTTTCTAGTTAGACGCCAGGTTATGGTCTTAATGTGACTTCCCATGATGGATTACTCAGACTAGATTACAGCAGTGGTCTGGTCTGGTTTTGAAATATACCCATTGATTTTCATTACTTTGAGGATGTCAGATAGGCCACATCTAGCTATGTACAAATGTTCTTTCCAAGAACAAAAGCATTAAATGAACATGTTGCACCATGCTGCCAACTCAGCAGATGTTTTGTGGGTACTGCTGTTTTTTAAGGGAAGGGCAGGACACACTCTTTCCTGGTGGATGAACAGCCATTAAGCAGTTGATTAATACACGTGTTTGTGTAGACACAGAAGAGGAGTGTGTCAGAATTTCTTCTGCTGGTTAAGTTGTGGAATTAGTGACAGATAGCAAAGTGGTAAGAGAAAGTCATAGGATAATATATTAATACACCACAGTTTTTCAGCTGTGATATTCCAGTGATAGCTTTTACTCTTTTCTTAATATAGGTGCGTGTTTACATGGCTGAATAACCCATGTAGACACACCATATTTTGAGAATGAAAACAGGATACTATCTGAATAAAGCAGTGCCTTTTTATTAAATGGTTTTACATTGTGTCTAATATTAAGTTACATTGCTAATGAAAAATTAATCAACACAAAAATTGAGTGAGAGAGGACTTGGATGGAAAATCCCGTAATAGCATAGTATAGATCTTCATTTTGAAATTGTTCTTGAAAGCATACAGTACATTTACCAGTGTAATGCAAGGTCCCTTTACAGAGTTAATATAGTCTTGCTTAGCTATAGACACATTTACTACCAGTGGGGAGTTAAATGGTTGTGAATCCCAGAAGATCCTCTTTCCAGCTAAATAAAAAATGCAATGCTTGCAAAATGTTTGAGTAAGCTTATAAAATCACAGCAAAAAGCATGTAGTACCTACATTTTTTTTCTTAAGACATAACCTTTGAACAGTATTTAGTAAATAATGCATATCCAAAGCTAAAATTACATATTGCCCTCATAATAGTTCATAAGGCAGTTGTCTCTGTTTCTCATAGAGATGCATTTGAATCTATTTATTCTGTGAGCAAACACAATTTTTGCAGGCCATGGTTAGGTTTTTATATTAAGTATATAAAACTTCTTTTTTTTTTTTTTTTTTTTTCCCCACCCTTCCCTCATAGTACAGAGATTAAAAAATATAAACCATTGCAAGCTTATCATGGGACTTCTGCTGGGCTGGCCTCCAAAACTGGCTGTTCAGGGAGCATCTTGGAAAGCAATAAAGTACAACAGTGTTGGAGAGCAATAAATGGGATGAAAAGATTAACAATGAAGAAGGATTTTTACACCAAAATTATTCTTGCTATAAGCTGGTGAACAGATGTCAGTGTGTTGTGTTTTTGTGTGTGTTTGTTTTCTCCATCTAGTGAATGTTGATTAAAATTTCTTCTAACTTCAACCAGGCCGTTATGCATTCCACCTCTGGAAACCATTGGAGCAAACCATCACAGAGACAGCAAAGAGGATTTCAACTTCTGTAAGTTCAGAAGCTACTAGTTGCTAATTTTATTAATCTATATTTCAAGTATTTAAGAAGGAACTACTTTGTGGAATACAGAGAGTGCATTTCATTTCAGAATAGAGCTGTTCCTTACTCCATATGTTCTAGCACTAATGTGATATTTTTAAATACCTGTAAATGAAGCTATCAGCCACATCAAAAGGTGCTTCTGAGATCTGATGAATGGTTTTAATTTTCCTGAAGTGATGTTGCATTTTTCACACTCTTTGCCAGTAAGTTTATGACAAATTGTTAAAGTTAACTGAAGTGGTCTGGAGGTAATGAAGTGATGACTGCAGTTTCCTTTTAAGGAGCTGAAAACTATAGTTTAATCCTTAAAAGCCCAGGAAACAAAGGGATAGGGAAACTTCCAGGAAATGTTGCCAAAGCTGGGAGAGGGGAAGAGAGGAAGCTTCTTCTGTTGTTCACATGAATTGTCTTTAGTGCTCCTCACTTTTAATGGACATATTTAAAAATGCAATAAGTAACACAATAAAAATGTGATAATAGTAAAGAGGGAGAAAATTAAGTGTTGTCAAAGGGGCATATACAGGAAATATTTTGGAGGATTTGTGTGGGTTTTTTTTTTGCTTTTGCTGAATGGGCTGTTCTCTGGTAAATAAATATTCATTCATGTCTGAGTGAAGTAATTCTCAGTGAGAAAGCTATCCTTTGTTTAAATGATACAGTGCCCTTTTTGATGCTGGTGGAAAAAGATATTATGAGAGTGGAAGTTGTAGATTATTGTCTCCTGAAAAACAGATTAAAGGTAGATTTTGAGAAAGTGCTAATGAGTGTCATGCCATGTGAGGCTAATTACAGTGCAGGGCTTTCCTTTATGCAGCATATCAAAAACGGGCAGAATTTTGGGTCCAGGTTCATTGACTGCCTGTAGGTTCTGAAGGTGCAAGCTTGATCAATGGATGGAAGGCAAAGACACTTGAAACGTGGACTGTCCTTTGGGACTGGCCCACACTTGGCCCAGTGGAGGTGCAGATAAGCCAGGAATGGTGTTTCTGTTCTATTTCAGTTCTGTTTCTTCTTGCATAGCTACTGTGTAGCCAATGCAAAAAAAAAAAAAAAAAGCTTTTTCTTTTTTAAATTCTCTTTTGAAGATATTCCAATCTTGCCTGCCACAAAGGCAAAAGAGACTTGCAGGTATTGTGAATTCTCATGCATTTATATGGTGTGTACAGTCTGTTTTAAAAGTTTTCTGAAAAGTAATTACTAATAAAAAGTGTGGCTTCAGAGTGGCCACTTCATCCTTCCTCTGTACAAGCTTTACTGCAGCATTCTTTTCATCCATTTGTGCATACAAACCATAGTGTCTAAATGCAAACAGAAAGAATTCAGTGACTGTTCTTAACACATGGAAATACAACATGTTATTGCACAGGGAAGTGTCCACTCAAGGAAACTGCAGCCCTCGGAACTGGTATCCCAACTGAGCCAAGTTCACAATGGCCAGTCTCCTTTTAATCTTAGTGGCTTTGAGTCATATAGAATTAATGAACAACTAAAAAGAGTAACCTGGAAGCATCTAAATTCACACTGTGTTTCTAATCCCAGGACTTGGCTTTCTTTTTCTACTTTCAACCCTCTCCTTCAAGTGTAGAACTTCATGTTGATCTCAAGTGCAATTTTTTTTTTTCTGTTCTATTTCTGAACTTTTACCTGCAAAGTATGGTACTTTTTTTTTGGGGGGGGGGGTCTTCTTTCTTACCATTTATAGTATTTATTTGTTAGCCTCACATTTATGAGGGCAATGGTAATACTTACTGTTCTTTGTGGTGCAAATTTAAGACTCTTGTCTAATTCTTCACAAAGCTTTTTGCTCTGCAACTGTTTTCTTGTATTGTTTGTTTAGAGGCTTTTTTCCATCTGCAATCTTTAAAGCAATGGAAAGAGGAAACATAACATCCAAAGTAACATATTTACCTGTGTAAGACCTTCCTGTCCAAACTATGTATTATGTCCTCACTTGATTTTATTTGAGGATTTTGAAGCTGCCCAATTATCATCTATGGGTTAGCTCTTTCACTGCCCCTATTTATAGCATATTGCCTTTTAAACCTGCTAACTGATGGCAATCAAGCAGTTAGTACTTCTACAAAAACCATTTTATTGGGGAAAAAAAAAGTTTTCTGTGATATTTAATGTCTAGGTTGAGTGTTACTCTACTGTTCTCCTGTGGTGCCTGGAGGCTCCTAAATCACTAGAGTTTCAGTGGTTATTGCAGCTTTCTAGATTCAACCCCTTTTCCTCATGACCTCAGCTTGTGGGACACTATGAAAGAGCCTTGTATTTCTAAGCTAGCTTGTTCTTTTTGTGACCTTTTCCATTCTCTCTCTCCCTCATTTGAAATTCCTTTTTTTCCCTGTTAGCAGCAGGAGTCACAATGCATGATAGCTGCAGCCTCAGAAAATAATTCATATTCTGCTTATCCTTTCTTTCCAACTCACTAATAAGTTAGTTAAAGTCCAACAGAGCAATTAGGAAGAGATCAGTTTAAATGCCTATATGGCTACATTTTGAGTCTCTGTCCCTTTCTGCTTTCTTATATAAGTAAATAACATGTATAGTGAACAATTAGGCTCATCTTTTAATTAAAAGTAGCAAGTAAAATTTGTTCTGTTTTGCTCTGAATTTCTATCTCCCATTTAGCTTTAATTATGACAAATATATAGACTTAAATTTGAACAGTAAATACTGCTGTAATTTAATTTTCATGTTTTCTATGGTGTTATTTCAGTGGAAGGAGACATAAGAGGAACTATTGCCATTTCCCCTCTGCAGCAAGCCTGCCTGCCTGGCTTTATTTATTAAATTTTGTGAGGGGATGAGGGGAAGGGAAGGAATAGCAAGTATTTCAGTGGCCTTCCTTTTCCCTGCTGGAGCTATGATATTGAAGATTGAGCCATAAAAATAGCAATTCAAGGCGAAATGAACCTTTAAAATCCATAAATTTCATAATCCCCGAAGTTTTGTATTCCAGATGGAAAGGGCTTCTTCTACAGCGCTTCATTAGGGATTCTGAAGTACTTCACCTTTTGCACTCCCTTTCCATGGCTGGATCTGATGGTGCTTAGGCCCATAGAATGCTCAATCAGATGCAAGGGCCGCAGCCATGGCTTGTCAGTCACTGAAAATAAAGCATTAGAGAATAAGATAACTTGCAGTCTGAATTTTTCCCAAGTAAAGGTAAAGAAATGAAAGCTGAGTTTAGCAAATTATATGATATAATGTGTCATCTTAGTAGCTTGTTAATATAGTGTAGTTTTGTTAGGTTTTTTTTCCCCTTTTTCCAGTGTTTGTCCCCTTTTTAGTGGGGGACTATACTGTTGATAGAGCAGCATGTAGAGTCTAGAAGGAAAGAAAACAAAAAACTTCATGTGCTCCGATATGATGTCTGGCCTCTGTTGTTACCTTCTGCATCTCTCTGATCTGGCAGGGGAACAGCAATCACATTTGTGCAGAGCAGGAAAGTGTCTTGGAGACGTCACAGTGCTAATGAATCAGATTTTCTTAGATGACTAATTTTGTGAAAATTTGCAAGAGTGAATACGCATTCAAAGAGCAAATTCAACTCGTCTTTCCCCCTTCCCCTTCTGCACCCCCACACACTTTCTAGTAGAATTTATTCAGGAAGCACAATTCGCTTATACAAATTGCGAACCAGTAACGACATGCCAAAAGGGAATGAAATAAAATGGGCACCCGCCCCAAGTGTGAAGAAATGGTGAGCACTTTTCAAGGATTTTTTTTCCCCATATAGAAGTTGTTTGTGACGGGCAGGATTAATAAATAATAAAGTGATGGAACTGCCCAGTTACTGAGGAGTTCTCTTAACGGGAGAATAGCAAGTATTGTTGTGTTTTGCTTCTGCCATTATTTACAATTAAAAGTATAAGAAATAACTTTGACTTAATATGAATAGCATGCAAAAGTTCTGTTTGGGGGCAAGAAATTTGACAAAGCATATCCTGCAAGTAAGACTTGGATGTTTCTTCTCCTTCCTCCAACTAAGGGGAAAAGTAGCTTTGAAGCCTGATTTCTTTTTGCTTTATATTCCATTTAGGAGCAAGATTTTAAATTAAGGAACTGATCATTCTTGCTGTATGCTTCACTTCTGAGAAGAAAGTGCTTTTCCTTGATGGCCAATTCAACATGATGTTTTTGAAGGCTCTGCTTCAGATTTGATTTGGTGCCAAAAGGCATAGACCACAGGATTTCTTTTTTCATTCCTCATGGAAGCTGAGTTGAGGCTTCTTGAGGTTGTAACAGTGTCAGGGAAGTGCACTTTAAAAACATGAGAAAGTATTTCTGAATTTCAGCCTACAGCCATCCCTCTCTATCTCTGATTTCAAATGAGCTTCATGTGGTTACTAATTCATATGGAGGCTGCCATGATTAGAGAAGAGCTGTGTTAAAGATGATTAAAATACTGCTCTTCTCCACATGAACTGTGAACCAGCATCGTACTCTATTCCTCTCCAGCCCTCTCTTTTTTTTTTTTTCTTTTAGGGTGAAGGAGAGTTTTGGAAAACGTTTCACAAGATATTAAATTATGTTCCTGTTTCTGTCTCCCCACTTCAATTTTAGATGTTCTTGTTGAACTTACCCAATGAGACCTTACCCTATGATTAGCAGGTCATCCGGATGGCTTCTTGAAGGACTAGAGGAGGCCGAGTACCTTCCCCAAGTGCTATGCAGTCCAACCTGTAACATTCCTATGCACTAGGACAGGCTGGCTCTACATTACCCCTATCACAGTGTCTCTTGAGCAGGTTTCTTGCTGCAGGCATGGCCTGTCTGCAGTTGCTTCAGTTTTGATAACTGAAGACTTACAGTAATAGATACTTGATGGATGGTGGCCGGGGAGATGAGTAAGAAAAAAGGATTCAGCTCACAGCCTCCACAGCTGGAAATCTCAGGGCTGTAGGTGATTTCACGGCTACATTGCCCCTGGAGATTGTGTGTTGGTAGCAGGTGAAGTATTTCTGAACAGTACTTTCGGGTCACTGTTGCTCCTCATCTTAATTAAAGGCTATGCTTAGATATCATAACCGGAGCCTTTAAAAATGTTTTAATGTTTTTTGCAGTTAGCTAAGACAGAGCTTATGCAAATATAAGGCTACATTCTTATTGTGTGTGAACAGATGTATTTAGTAGCTAGTGGGAGAAAATATTTCATTAAGCGCTGGGCACATTTTTACTTGGGGGTAAAAGGAACATTTTTTTTAAAAAAAGGAAAGCTCAGTTCTCAAGCCAGATTTCCTTTTGATAGCAACAAAGGAAGCTTATTTTTTCCCCAGCTGATAAATTTTGCATGGAGGAAGGAACTTCAGTCTTGTCAAGTGATATTTCTGCGCGCCTGTTCCCAAAGGCGGCCTGTCTCACAACTGCATCTGCTGCCTCTGGGGCTCGTGCAGCTTGGAGAATTGTTTGTGTGGCAGCAGGCTAGTCCTTAATTCTTCTTACAGAAACATTTGCATTGAGGAGATCATAGCTATCAGTCAGTGGTTGTTCAGTAACTTATTTTTTCATTTAAAAATGCATTTATGGGTTGACAAATATACTTTCAATTCTTTTCCCTCTAATGACAATTCAGTTGTTATAATTTGCTCTAATATCCATCTTATTCTCTTTAATGTTCTTTTTTCGCTCTCTTTTTTTTTCTTTGTAAAGAATGGCTGTTTCTAATCTTAAAAAATCCTACTTCTAATCATTTTCAATAATGGGCATCTAGGAAAGGGCATAAGGGCAAACCTAAGCTAGGATTTCCTGTATACTTCACTACTTTCCAATGTTTTGCTGCGAATAAAGATTGTAGCTCGATGCAAATTTTTTTTGGCTTTTTTTGGGGGGGAGGAGGAGGGAGTTATGTTTTTTGTGTTTTTTTTTTTTTCATAAAACTTGTTTAATCACTCTTTCAACTCATGTAACTTCAGCCATCCAAAATATCCCCTGGCAGTGAGTTCCTGAACACAGGAACACTGTGGAACACAGGAACACTGTGGAAAAGTGCCTCCCTTTTCCTGTCTCCTGCTTTCACTTGATGTCCCTTGTTCTTTTATTATGTAAATCAGTGAATGATCTTTTGCCTTGAAGGCCCTTTTATTCCTTCTTGTTGTCTTCAATATGTGTTTTTTTTTATTTTTTTTTTTAATCCTAATGTTTGTTTTTAAGGTAGAGGCAAAGGAGATTTATGGACATTATTGAGAGGAGAGCACACTGCCAGTTCATACTGGTTTTCATTTCCTTTCTTTGACAGAGAGTTGTATCTTTATGGCCTCTCTTGACAAATGCTAAGCATTGAACTGAAGTGTGCACAGAATTATCTGTTAAAATTCTAGGATGCTTTTCCCATGTAGTAAAAGCTTCCATACATAGAGATCCTTCTTAAGCTGAATGTATGCATCTTGTTTCTCAGTGTGTTGCCTCATTTATTCATTTATATTGGATTCTTTTTACAAATTTGAGCCCCTTTCTTTCCAGCCATTGAATATGGCATTGGCACTGGTTTCCCTTCGGGAATTCTTCGGTGACCTTCTTTCATGGACATAGTTGGCTCTTTGCTGCTGGTTTTGCTCTAGCCATTTGTTTGCCCGTGTGAAGACATCATCCCCTAAACCATGCCTGCCTTGTTGTTTTTGGATTTCTGATGAAGCATTTGACTTAAGGGACCATGTCAAAATCTTTTGGAAATGCAACCAAATTATATACATCAACCAAACTACATCAACCAGATCACTCCTGGTTGCACAGTAAATGATTCTGTCAAGGAAATAATTTTTGAGTATTACTCCTCATAAAGAAAAAGCACATAGACTATTCATCAGTATACAATATTTATCTGTTCTTATCCTTTTGTTATAGTTTAGATAGAAAGATCTGGACATCCATAATTCCTTAGATACCCAAATAATTTAAAATATTGTTGCTGCATTTGCAGTTTTCCACTGCGACGGTACCAAAGCTGCTTTAAACAAAAGACTTCCTTGCTCGGCCCTCCTGCCTCCCCCTGCACACGTACAGAGTGTATCACTGCCTGCCAATACAGACTTTGATTCTGGACTATTTTATCTGAAGACAGGAATTTTATATCTGTAGCTGTTAATATATTTTTATTCGTAATAGAAGATAGCAAAAACAGTTATTTTTAAGGGAACTTTTAGATGTGTTAAAACCCAAGAAAATTTCTTTCATACCATCTGGTTTGTACTTTTTTCATACCTTCAAAATACAGAAAAATGTAATGCTCTGAATGAGGTCATATGTTAAGATTTAGGTTCTGACACCTTCTATGTGGAACTAATTATTTCCCACTTTTCCTTTCTTTTTCATAGAGTCTTTCATCCTACTATAAAGGAGGATTTGAACAGAAAATGAGTAGGCGAGAAGCTAGTCTTATTTTAGGTGTAAGGTAAGTGTGTTGCACTAATATGTTTTTGTTTCTTGATGAATGGAAAAATCCATATAGCAGGAATATGGAATAATCTGGCCCAAATCCTAACCTTTTTTTTAAGGCTTCTAATGCTCATAAACCATTTTAATATTCTCCTTAAGCAAAAAAGCAAATAATAAATACTAATAAAACATGTGACTTGTGTTCAGCATGTGAAGGCATAGTAACATATTGCAGTGGAGAATAGAATTGATATTCTAGAAGTAATCAAAAAAGCAAATACTATGCTAATTAGTGTGATCACATGGCCTGTTCCCCAAAAAAGAAAAAACCCTTGAGATAAGCAATACTGTAGATTATATTAATAAATGAGAAGAGCAAATCAATTTTGTTCTTATTTTTCCCGTAAGTCTTTTTTTTTTTTTTTTTTTTTTCCCCTTCCTCTTTGATTTGTTTGAGTTAAGGACTTGGTGCATGCTCCAAACAGAACAATTCAGAGAGACTTGTAATTTGAGCAGTTATAGGAAATCATTTTCAGGCTGAGGAACTGATAGATTTTTTTTTTTTTTCTGTTTCCCCCTGAAGTATCTGAATAGCTAGTGTTAGCATTCATGTTAGTGTTTTTTATAAAAACAGTGAGTTGTAAGGTTTGAAACACAGGCAGTTCCATCTCCAGGTGAGGAGGAACTTCTTTCCTGTGAGGGTGACAGAGCCCTGGCACAGGCTGCCCAGGGAGGCTGTGGAGTCTCCTTCTCTGGAGATCTTCCAAACCCGCCTGGATGCCGCCCCGTGCCCCGTGCTCTGGGTGTCCCTGCTGGAGCAGGGGGTTGGACTGGATGATCTCTAGAGGTCCCTTCCAACCTCAACCAGTCTGTGATTCTGTTTAGCAGCGGAGAGGGACAGATCTGCCTTTAAGTAGTAGGTTCCTTTTCCTGGTTCAAATTGGCTCTGAATTTAAACTATTTATGTTTACTTCTCATGTAATAGGGACTACGCACATGTAACATTCATTTTAAGAAATTGTAAAATAAAAGAATACTTTAATTTGAAGTATTTCATGCTTGCACACCAAGCAGAAAATTAATAAGAGTGCTACTCAGACATATTTCCTTTGACCTTTAAGTCTGATAAGTATTAACATTTTAGCTTATAAGGTCATATTCAGTGATATTCCAGAGTAGCACACTGCAACTCATTAAAGTGTGTTTACATTGGCTCTCCTTAACTTGAACGCTGCTCTTTTACATCTGAATAGAAGATGTGAATGCATTCTTCATTACGTGTTGCATCAGAATCTGCTTTTATTTTTGGTTTTAATAGCTGGAGTCTGCAGCTAGAATAGTGACACTGCTTGGTGTGTTTGGGCTGAGTCTTACAAATGCCATTTGAGAGAAGTTCTTTACTTGGATTGAGTATTTAGTTGCATAGAAGCATGTGGCTAACATCTTTACAGGAAGGTTTTGCAGTGTTTAAAAACTGCAAAATACAGTTTTTAAATACACACCAATTTTAACTCAGTGTTCATTTAATTATATATTTATATGCCTATAACAGTATTACCTGTGCTATGAGTGCTATGGAAAAAAGGCAAATTAGTTTTAAAGTATTAGGAAAGCTGTTAGGGGAGGCACAAACCAGATCTGACTCAACACTAATCTTATTATTGTAACTTTTGTCCCCTGTGACATTGCTTCCAAGTCATACTGATTTTAAGGCAGCGACCTGCTTTATTATGTTGAGTGCCAATTGTGTATGGGTACTGTAGAAATAATAAATACAAGGTATTGTACAGTAATAAATACAAGGTGATGATGAGCATTTAACCGCTGCTTTTGCATTTCATGTGTACTAACTTTTATGCGTTTTTGAATGTCACTCAGCAATAACCATTCAGTAGGATTGTAATATATATTTTTGATAAAAGAATATTTCTTTTAAGCTGTATGAAAGGCCTTGAGCACTACATATACTGTATTAGAAATATTCAGTAATTTTAAAATTTTCTCTTCCATAAGTTATCATGAAGCAGACCTGATTACTGAACCTCACTATAAGCTTGGCATTAGTTCTAACAACTAAATACGGTGCAGAAGGAACTACTGTTAAGAGAGGAGGAAGAAGGAATGAGTTAGGAGGTGATAATGTTATGAAAAGATATGAGTATTTTCCAAACACCAGACCAAGCTAAGCACAGTGGTTTGCTGCCATTCAGATCCCTTGTGCTTAACTTTCTGCAGTTAGATAGTGTCTGGTAAAAAAAAAAAGATTTAAATTTAAACAATAGATAAATGTGAATGAAACTTTGTACCGTTCTGTTCCTGAAATAAAATGCATTGTTTCTCTGTCTGTAGGAAATATTTAATTACTTGTCAGCATAAATATGAATTTAAATAAATACACATTATTTAAAAAAAAAAAAAGAAGTTGCAGCTAGAGCAAAAGCTGTGATATCAGAAGCGTGTTATGTTGGTGTGACCCAGGTTGTGAAGTGTAACTTTGGTTTGACAGAAGAGATTTTCTTGGTAGTGACTAGGAGTATTCAGTGATCAGTCCTGCCTCCAGAATAAACAATCTGTTATAAGCTGTTTGATTTGAATGATATTTCAGATCAAAGAAATCTGCTTTATATTCCATAACTGAATTATATTCCGTAACTACATTTTTTCCATAATTTGACTTTTGTGCTCAGTATTTCCAAATATGGTAACTCAACTTTCCTTATATTGTTACAGTACTAAACAAGGAATTTGCGGATTGAAATATAGATAACTTAGCCCTAGCTACCCAAGAACAAATCATTTTGTTCTGAAGCTATGTAGTTCAAGGCCCTTCATCCTCTCCTAATTCTTTCTTTCAGGATTTTATTGTTCCCTTGATATTTTGGTTTTTTTCTTTTTGAGTGCAGTTCTGTGAAATATTTTTGCAACATGCTCCAAATTCCCCGTGACAGAATAATAATTACAGGTTGTTTACTTCAGGAATGCAGTTAGCATTCAAATTGTACCTACAAAAAGATTAATTAATTGAATTATCACTGATTAAGAAGTGATCTGAAGTGGAAAACACTGCTTCATTTCTGCATGCTAACAGATTACAAAAAATAAAACCATTCAAATTTAAATAGTACTGTTCTTTTGCATACCATAACCTATTGTGCTGGCACACTGCATCCCTGAGTGGTTATTTGTCTGGTAAGGTATGTACTTAATTTAGCTGAAGTACATGTTTTACATATCTGTCATTGAAGGAAACAACATTATGTAGCGCTTGTAAATCAACATGCCCCTGAATGTAACACATTGAACAGCTTTGCAAAAAATAACAAATACAGTTTTTTCAGGCCCCAGTGGAAAGAAGAATTATTTATAGCTGCAATAATAATATTTACAGTATAATACAATATGGTAATTTTAAATATTTGTTGTTTTGTCATTGGTCATATAAACACTCGTTTTCTAGGAGAGAATAGAATATTTCCACATTAAATTGTAAGAATGGAAGGTAGATTTACCCTAGAGCTTTTCTTTTAGGTTTTAGTGGGCTTTAGTTTAGTAGGTGTGGGGTTTTTTATGTTTGTTTCGCTTTGTTTACATAGCGGTGGATTTTTTGGGGTTCAGAAAAGCCTTAAAGATATTTGTATGTTTCAAATACGCAGGCTTTTTTAAAATACTATTTTCTATATGTCTCACGTGCCTTTGTTAGTGTCTTACTTCCTCGGCGATGCAGTTTTGTGTTTTGTCCACAAGATGGTGAAAATCCCAAGTTTTAATTGCTTTTTGAAGCCACCAAAAACTTAATTTATAGCCTGGGTTTGGTGGAGTTTTTGGTAAGTGCTTCCATTTATTTTGTAGTCCATCTGCTGGCAAGACCAAAATCAGAACAGCCCACAGAAAAATCATGATTTTGAATCATCCTGATAAAGGTAAGTAATTCCTCTTTTTCTTAACTGAAGCTGAAAAGGCCTAAATGAGATCCTTCAGTTTGCTGTTTCCGTAAGTGAACACAATCAGTGCAAGTATATGATATTTGTTTTTTAGACTAGACTTTAGTTTCTGTGCATCTTTTTCACCGATGAAACAGACTGATACTCGAAAGGCTTTATGAAACACAGTTGTGGTAACCTGTGCAGATATTTTTAAGGTTGCTTTTAGACCTGTGCTGCCTTACTTAAAACCATGAGCTCTTGGACCACCCTTTTACACTTTCAGAAACTTAAAAGTAAGAAAAACTGTTCTGTAGCACATTTACATGAAACATTTCTGTGCTGGACTGTGAAATGAAGCAGTCACATGCTTGAAAGGACCCTTCTGTGGGGAGGTGTTCTGCAGCCAGTGACAACTCATTGGTTGAATTCAAGGAAGTTTGCAGTCCTTTGGAAGAACTGTGAAGCTGGGCACTTTTGCTTTACTGGCCAAGTTTTTAATGTAAATTTATCTTACAGAAAGGCTATTATTATAACTTTAACTACACTACAGCTGGTTGAGAAAGAAAGCCCATATGTTCATTGCTGTTTGTACTTTAAAATAACAGATGGTGAAGAGTTGCACTGTATTTCAGAAGTCAAAAGGGGGAATTGGAAGTTTTTTGCATCTTGACAGGATTACAGGGTCCCTGGTCTGCCCTGTCTTAAGAAAATGAAAAAATAACTTACCAAGTTGTTTGCCAACAAGTAGATGCCTTTCTTTGCTGTCCTCAGCCCTCAACTTAATTCTAAAGCTGTCCTCCCTGTTTGATGTCACACCGCTTCACTTTCTTACACTTCTTGTAATGTATGAACTCCACAATTGAAAGCTGGGAAAGTTCTGCTCTGCATTTTTAATGCGTTGCAATCATAGGGGATCTCTTAACCAGCAGAGTTCATAGTAGGTTAAAGTCTTTTGATAATGATTTTTTTAATTTTAGTGTAGCAGCATCCAGAAGCCTGAGCTGGAACCATGAATCTCAGTATGGGTTCTGAGTAGACCTAGAAAGCCCATTTCTGTACTAAAAGTTATATTTTAAGGGACCAGGCTTACAGCAATAATGCAGCTACAGCTGGGTACAGTGTAGGGTTTGCTAGACGCGTTGTCGGCTTTCGAGGTCTCCTGTGTGCTGTTAGGATGGACTATTTTCTCAGTAGGAAAATGAATTTAAGGTGTTTGTGCCCTGAAGCTTTGTTGGTATTGCCACAGAAAAAAGTTTGTATAATGTCTTCAGGTGCAGAGCTATGGCCTGGAATAATCTTGAACATATGGCACCAGAGACCTGTTTGCTTAAACAGATACCGCAATTCCTTCAGGCTTCTAGTAACAGAACTGTGGTTTTTATGAATAATATTCAACTACTGAATGTTGTTCTAAAATATTTTAGCAGTTGGGGTTGATGAAAGAAAGAATAGTAATGACAGATTTAAAAAAAAAAAAAACTATATTAGCTAAGAATTAAAACTTTAAAGAGAGAATTATTAGGAATAAGAAATATATAGAATCGACAATAATGGTGATTAAAATGGTTGTGCATTAATCTTTATGCTTAAGAATTAATACTTTTAAGCAGAATCCTGGTTTATTATACTGATAAAATATAAAGTGTGTTAATATTTTTTCAGTCACTAAGTTTTGAAAGAATACTTCTTCACAGAAACTGAGGAAGAGAAAAGTCTTTTGGACCTGCCTAATTATAAACAAACACTTATGCAATCATGAGACCGAATTTCCTCTCATTGGAGGGCAACAAAATTAATACAGCACTTAAGGATGTAAATGTAGTGAAAACACTTCTAATACATTAGAATTTACTTTTAAGATTATGCACTCTGTGCGTTTAGAAAATCAATGCACAGCTAAATTTCTTGGAATACATTGTTGCAATTTATAGTCTTTAATGTTTGATATTTTTGATATGGTGTGTGTGTGTGTGTGTGTTTGAGATCTATCTATCTATCGATCTACCTATCTCACACACACATGCATAAAATGCTTGTTTTCCAGTAGTCACTTCTCTGTCCTGTTCTTTCCCTGTTCCACTTTCCTGAAATGTGTCTTAACTATTAGGACTACAAAACCAGAACACAAACAAGAGAAGTGAACTCTATTACTTCTTCCAGTTGTTTTATTAGACAGTGAAATGACTTTATAATTTGGGTTCTTGCAGGAATGTCCTAAAGAAGTTTTTAAAGCTTTACATTTCTCTATTTTTTTTGTTTCGTGTTTGCTCTTCTGCATGTCTCTTCTATCGCCGGCTTTCATTGAATGAAAAGTTATGACATAGGCCTTGGAAAAGGCTGTCCAATGTACAGTATTATTGAATTCACCTTTTTATGTTAGTGTATTCTAGTAAATGGCAAGCTACTGGTACAGACCTTGTAATGTAGTTTTCAGTGACTATAGGCAGATGGTGGGCACTCAAGGGGAGAGTAAAAAAACAAACACAAAAGACTCCTGAACTGTAATCAAATTGTTAGATAGAGCGTAAAGCAATGGCAGTGCTGGGGACTGCAAGTTAGAAGGCAGACCGTGTCTGACTAGTTGTAATGTGACAGTTTCTGGCTGGTAACTCTGGGTGTCTAGAGAGGGGAAGGATGGGGTGAGTCTGGTTTGATTTGGGTAAAAATAATTACAAAATTTTGCCTCTTGGGTTTTGGGGTGGGTGGGAATAAGAGCCATCATCTTTATGGGAACATTCAGGAGAGCTGACCTTGCACACGTATGCAGCAACACTACAGTGCAAATTTAAGTCAGCCTAATTTAAAGTGATTTCAAAGGATCATTTTGAGACTTTTCTTTATCAGCATGACTTCCGAGACAAATTGTTCTTGTTACTCTTCAGTTACTTCATTTTTTTTTGGTTACTTTTTGTCATGTTTCCCTACTCATTATTTTATTTCATATCAATTATACTTTTAGAGCAGTCTTATGAAAAAGATTTTCTGAGGAAGGAGGCACTAATAAAATTGAGTAATATCTGGATGCTGTAAAAGTAGACTGATATTTCATGCAAATAGGTAAATGATATTCCTTTGTACTATTTCATACAGATATGTAAATGATATTCATTTGTCCTTTCTTTTCAGGTGGATCACCTTATTTAGCAACAAAAATAAATGAAGCAAAAGACCTGTTAGAATCTAGTGCCAAAAATTGAAATGTTAGGCCTTGGATCATAAGAATGGCTTAAAAAAAAAAAAAAAAAAAAGGAAAAAAAAAAGAGAAGAGAAACAGCTTTTTACACATCTTACTGTGGAAGATCGAGTGGATGCAACAGCTCTCATATCTGCTTGTTCTGCATAGCTGCTGAAAACTGCAGGGACTGTTTTTATTTATTGTCATAATTAAAGATTAAAACAACTTAAAAGCCAATTGAAATATTTCTAGTGTGATGTGTCAGTTTTAGTGTATCTGTACTAAATTGCATGTGTGTGTATATGGTTTTATTTTTTTTAAAGCAGTGGATTCTTTCATGTAACTTCTGGAATACTTAAAAACCGAAATAGTAATAGTCTTATTTATAGGCTTTTCATTCACTGATGAAGACTCCAGCAGTGTCAGAAAATCAGTGAGTTGAAAGTATGGCAGAACCATAAGGGGAAACTTCAGCATCAGCTACATTGGAATGTTCATTTGTGAAATAGTGGGGTTTGTTCATGATGTGGTTGTGGAGGTGCAATGTGGAACAAAAAAGGGCTAGTGAGACTACAGGCTTCTGTTTCCTGAAGCTCTGCAAATGGAACTGAGTGGTATAAAGGAAGAATTTTCTTTTTTCCTCCTAGATCTTTGAAATTGTCAAGTAATTATGTGGAATGTTTTTTTATTTTCCTTGAAGTCACTCTGTAGAAGTCAGGATGATACAGGGGTTTTCATGCCTGTAGAAATGAAGAAGGTAGGTCCACATGGCATGGAGTCAGATGAATATATTTTGTAGGACGTTGATGTCGAGATTGTTCTAGTCATGTCAGACTGAAATAAGCTTGATACAGCAGGGAGCAAACATGGCTGGACCCCTACTGATATTTGCCTTGGTTATTATTCTCTCTAGATTTACTTATCCTTTCTCTGCCCCGTTTCCCAAAGCATCATACCTGCCTGCTCGTGTAGCAACCTGGTTTTGGCTTCTGGGAATCATGAGGTCTTGCATCCCTAGCAGTTGTGTCTCGATGCCATTCGAAGCACTAACTACTGCAAATTCCAACCAGGAATCTGGTTACAGATGAGTTAACTCAGAGGATGATGAGTCTAGTGTATTCTGGGTAAGATAAGAAAACTTTCTGGTATTCAGTCAAAATAATGACATTTTAGGTACAACGAGTCTTTAAAGAGCTGTTAGTAGAAAACTTAAATTGCTTACTTTCTAGGCTATTTAGCCAGAATTATGGATAATTAAATGAGTATCCAACCACATATTATTCCCTGGGACGTGTATGTGTTTGACCATCCAGGGGCAGATGTCTAGAAACTTACAGATTTTTACCTTGGAAGGAGGAAATAACATGACTTTAAAATAATATATATGTATATGTGTGTATATATATATAAACTATGCATTTCCTGCCATTAAGAAGATGAAGGAGAAAATCTAGTTAACCTGGAAATAAAATGTGAAGTTTAAATATGTCCGCCTTGATCACTGAGAGTGTTGCAGGACTTGAGGGACACATCTTGACTGGATAAAGCAAGAAAGGGCACAGGGAAAAAACCTCCTGGGGGGGGATACACATAATGTATGATATGTGTCCTGCAGTGCTGCTGTTTAATTGCTGCTCCAAAACAAGAAAAAGCGTAATGTAAAGATAACAGGGGATGCATGGGAATTCCTATGCAGGGAATTCCTTATATTCATGGGTGGGCCCTATAAGTGATGGGGATCGTTGCTCAGAAGCAAAGTTGCTCATAACAAAACTGTTCCTTGTGTTTTTGAACTGACTAGCTGTTCACACAATCACATGTCCTTGTGCCTGTAAAATTCTGTAAAATGAGAGGAGCTGATAGAGTGATCATGAAATGATCACTTCTGTATGTGCAAAACTTCAGCATCACATGTGCAATAGCACAAATATATATATTCCTTGGAAGGAACTCTCTTTTTTTCTGTGTTTACTGGCAAAGCTATTGTCTCACATGCTAAATGACATTTGGAAGGATGAAGATAGGACAGTGAAAAGGAAATATGTAGTCAAGCAAATCATGTAAATACTGTTCATTTTTGTTGTTCCCAGTTGTTTCCAGTTGTAAAGTGTGAAGGCTGAAGAGTGTCTTTAGAGAATGTTTGTATTGACTGCCTTGCAGAACAGCACATGAATTCAATGTTTCTGTGCTCAACTGGACTGCAAAGAACAGACTTTTTGTGTTTATATTTTTAGTAGCGTGCCCTGTGAGTCTAACTGTATTCATCCTCTTGAGAGTACTTTCTTTACTCACTAGATGCAAAAGTTCTCCATGTAGGAAAGCAGCATAGAGGTTGATTTATTCTGATGCAGTCTCTCTCCATCCATCATACTAGCAGCAAGGGAACTTTTTTTTTTTTTTTTTTTTTTTAAAGTGTGTTTTAACGTTCACTAAGTGTTCATCTATAACTCCTGAGGTCAGGAATTCCCAGGTAGTTTTGTACTTGCATGCTAACCAAGCCTAGGTACGTTTTTCAGACAGGGCTGGAGTGCATTCATTTGGCATTGCTGTTGGCAATTCCAAGCTTATTTAATAAAACAGCCGCTGCCTCTATCTAGTTTTTGCTGTGAGAATTTTCTCTGCAATTTGATTCTTTCCACTGCAGCTGTAGGCCTGGGCCTGAGTGACCAGATGAGTCTGCTCCTCTGAGAGCAGGAGTGCAAGCTGCAGAATCCTTGCTGGCCTGAAATTGGACTTGGGTAGAGTTGAAACACATGAACACAAGGGTGAAAAGGACAAAATCTTTGCCTCATCTCCTAAGGAACATTTAATCTCTTGAATGCTTAGATTTCTGCTTCAGCACGTATGCAAAATTGCTGCTTCTTGTCAGATCTTTATTGAGCTTAACACTTTAACCTCTCTCACATCCACAAATTAGGTGTCTGGTGTCCGAGTTCACTAGACCCCTTGATTCAGTAGCTGTGCTTACAGGGAGCCTGATGCATGCTGGTGTTCAAAACCTCTTGAGCCTTGGTGTGAAAATCCTTATCACTGTCGGAGTGCCCAGAGGTGGCTGGTGATTAAACAGGGATGAGGAGGGAATGGTACTTGTACCCCTTCTTGCTGAACTTGAGCCTTTCAGGAGAGTGGAAGATTTGTAACGGAGTGCAAGATCAAGGGCTGAAGGATTAACTTTCAGTCTTCACTCCTCAGACCATTTAAAACATTAAATGAAATCAAAACAACTTAGCAGAAAGGTCATGATCAAAACCATTAATAATTTCTTTAAGATCACTATTTTCTGTAGGTCATCTTTTCTATATTCTCTGAGTTTTTGCCTGTCTAAGCAGCACAGTAGACTGGCACCAAAGTGCCAGCTACAGCCTTTGGCACTCTTGGTTTGAACAGAGGTTAAATTAACGTTCTTGGGTCATCAACAGCAGCTTTTGACGTACTTGTTTGTGAATCAGTATCAGCAGTGTTGCCAGCACGATCCTGAGATGCTGAGCTTTGTCATTTCAGCTCTGCTGTCAGGAAATAGAATGCGTACATATATACAAAATCTGTGTGTGTATATATATATAGGCATATTGAAAAATATACAACATTTGCAAATAAATACATGGAATATATATGCATATGTAGGCACACACATGACTAAGATCCTATAAGGCATGTTTAGTGTGTAGTAGATTTCACCTTTTTACTAACTCCTTTCCTTGCATTTTTTGAGTTGATACCAATTTTCCTTCTCAAATCATTAGAACTTAAGGGGAAAAATCCCCTTGGTGAGTACATGCAATTTCTTGCATATGTCTCACGCTTTCAAAGATAGGAAAACATAATGCCCACGTTGTAAGTCTCCATTTAGCCATTGGAATTAATTTGTTAGGAAGCCTCACAACTGAAAACTCCTCCTCTCCCCACATTTATGCTATTGATACAGTTTCTTTACATCCATTTTTCCTCTGTAATAGGTATATATGGTATAGTTAGGAACTGCAAATACTTAGCTTTTATAGAAATCATAAGCATTCGGGTCAGCCTTGTACTGTACAGCCTTGTGCTGTACTTGCACAAACCTCTACAGATGCATTTTTCCAGACTTTTTAAAGTGAGGGACATCTCATATTTGCAAGGGGTAGGGATAGGAGACTTAGAGCTACATTTTTTTGTATTGCGTAGCAAATTTTTCTATTTCTAATAGATTTAAAATCATAGATACATTTAAAATACTTTTAATACCTTAAGTACTTTTTTGCATTAACTTTACTTGATAATTTTACAAGTTTACACTTAATCGGGGCTCTAAAGAGGTAGAAAGGGGATTCATATTGTTGGTTGTCTTATTGATTGTCAGTGATCTGTGAACTACAGGGTGAGAAACATCTCTGCTGTGGATGACTAGAATATTAGCCAAGGTAGCAATGATCTTATTTCCCCATAATACTAGGGAATCACAAAGCTATTTTGAGAATGAGGAGTATATTTTGACAATAGTAGCATCATCTGATTAATATTCTTAAGATTTTTCAAGAGTTAGTAATGGTACACTGAATAATTTCTGTACAGCTTCATATGACATTAAAACACCCCTACTGTGCTATTACAGTTTCCTTATTTATATACTAACCATATGGAGAGATTAATTAGTTGGTTTTTTTTTCTCTTTTTTTAATATACCAGCTATCTGATGTAATAAACTGTAGATCTAAACAGTGAAAAGATTCCTCTCCAAAGTGACTTGTATTATTTAGACATTGTATAAAGCCTGGTTCTGGATGTATTGATTTCTCCTGATTAAGGGAATTGATGTGAATGCCTTGGATGTTCCTTACATCCTAGTAGTTGAGTGAACAGCTTATACTGCAAAGGTTATTATTCTGACAGTTCAGGGAATGCAATTTAAGAAAATCTAAGTAAAAATTATTGGACAATTCCATGAATAAAAAGCTGGATGATCAGGCTCTTAAGGTTAAGAGGCTGGTAGTAAGTGGAGTAACTGCAGGGTTCTGTCCTGGGGCTTCTCCCATTGAAGATCTTTAGTTGTGACTGTGAGAAAGAAACCGTCTGCATATGACACCAAACTGTACAAACCAATTAATTTATCACTGGTGTTCAGCAGCACCTGAACGGGCTGGAGACGGGCTGAAATTCATGCAGGGCAAAGGCAGAGCCCTGCACCAAGGAAATTCTGCAGTGACAGAGGCTAGGGACTGTTGGGTCTGGGGAGCAGCACTGCTTAAAGGGATTTGGGGGGACAGCAAGAACATGAACCAGCAGCATGCCCAGCAGCAAAGCCTTCCACACTGTGTTAGCCAACTGGTTGAGGGACAGGATTTTCCCATCCTGCTTGGCATTTGTTAGACCAACATCTAGATCCTGCATCCACTTTTGGGACTCCCAGAACAGGAAAGACACTGACAGGCTGGCAAGGGTTCAACCAGGGCCGTCAGATTGGTGAGGACTGGAGCATTTGCCCTATGAGGAGGACAGAGGGAGTTGGGCTTGTTAGCTGGGGGAAGAGATGGCTTCAGGGGTAGCTCAGAGCAGCCCTCCAGCACCCGCTGAGAAGAGACTGAGAAGAGGGAGCCAAGTTTTCGTAGCAGTTCTTGGCAGGAGGATGAGAGGCAATGGGCAAAGACGGAAGCATGTTCAGGGTGGCCACCAGGAAGAAGCTTTCTCCCCTGGCGCACAGCCCAGAGAGGAAACTGGTTTCCAATGAGGTTGCACAGTCTCCATGGTTTTCAAGACCTAGGAGTGGATAAATTCCCAAGTAGCCTGCTTTGACCTCACACCTGACCCTGTTTTGAGCAGAAGGTTGGCCAAGAGACCTCCTGAGGTTCCTCCTCACCTACATCATCCTATCCTATGAATTATAGTGGGAAAGACAGATGGCAGAGGTACAACCTGGGAAGTACCCTGTAATAGTTGTTTTGCGTTCAGTAATGCTTGCTTTTTATGAGGCACGCTGTTTGTGGCCTCAGATGAACTTAGAGCTGTAGTTAAAATAAGCTCAAATGTTTGGAGAGCTGCACAGGAACTAGAGCTTGATATTTCAATACAGTTTTATGCTGGTGGCATAGAGCCAGCGCTCCAGAGCGCTGTGAGTCCAGTTGTGGTGTCACCAGTCCGCTCAAGTCTTTTATTCTTAGCATCAGGTGGTGGGAGGCTTTGTAGTCTTCCCTGGGCTGAGAACAAGGCAATTTGGCTTTTAAAACTAACGGTGGCCTAAACAGACAGAAATATCTCCTCAAATC